CGTAGTGAAGCAGAAAATGGCGGACCAAGTTTTTCTAGCATATGTGAAGCTGGTGAGTGAGGCTGAGAAAGAGAGGAAAGAGGTACCACCCACTACCCAAACACTGTCGAAGGAATTCACAGACTTAGAGGAGGCACGCAGCAGAGTAGTAGAAAGGGAGGTCAAGCACCAGATTGAGATTGAGCCAAGGAGTAAGACATCGAAGAGACCGATATATAGGATGTCTCCTAGAGAACAGTCAGCTGAATTGACAGAAAAGAGGTCGATTAAGTCTAGCTCCTCACGGTATCAAGCACCTATGCTATTTGTACGCGAGAAGGAACATGAATTGAGGATGTGCATACACTACAGTGGATTGAATGCCATCATTGTGAAAAATGCTGGGCCACTGCAGATACCAGTTGGAGGATGGAAGTACTTTTGGGAGATAGAGTTGAAGTCAAGGTATTACGACATAGAAGTACAGCGTGTGGACCAACACAAGACTGTGTTCTGGACCGGGTATGGACACTATGGGTTACAGAGTGATGCCCATAAGTTTAATCAATGCCCTTGCAACATTCCAAAGATGTATGAATGATATGTTTAGGGAGTGGCTAGATCGTTTTGTACATAAATGATATGTTAGCATTCAGGAAGACATCAGAGGAGCATTGGGAGCATTTGCAGGAAGTTCTGGGTGAGCTGAAAGAAAATAAGTTCCGGGTGAATCCGAAGAAGTGCGAGTGTGCCCAACAGCAAGTGCTGTAGTTGGGCCATGTGATTGATGGAGATGGAGTTAGACCGGAGGATGCAAAGATAGTTGGAATCAAAGATTGGCTGACACCAAATGCTGTGATGGAATTACTGTCGTTCCTAGGTCTAGCAAACTACTATAGGAGGTTTGTTTTTAGTTTCAGTACAATTGCAACAATGTTGCGCAAGCTGTTGAAGAAAGCAGCAGTATGATTATGGGGTAGAGAGATACTAGAGACTGCTCTTCCACATTGAAGAAGATGAAAAAGTGATTGATTGAGTACCCTGTGCTCAAAATAGCAGATACCTTGTTGCCATTGGTCGTTACACCCGATGCTAGCTAGTATGTAATAGTCATTATCCTACAGCAGGATGATGGAAACGGATATAGATCTGTTGAGTTCATGTCAAGACGACTGCCCTATGAGAAAGTAGCGGCGTCCACCTATGGGAGAGAATTGCATGTGTTGCACAATGCACTGGATAACTGGAGGCACATACTCCTAGGACAACACTTCAGAATTGTACTGAAATCACAATACTCTGCGATAACCAAACGCCCAGGATAAGATGTCTATTAAAGGGCCGTGAAATCAACGAGTTTGACTTTGAACTGAAACCAGTCAAAGGTAAGTATAACATTGTCACTGATGCATTGTCTAGGAGAGCCGATTTCTATTGTGACCTATCTTGATGCTAGGTAGGATTTGCAGCAGAAGATAAAGGCTGCATGCGTAGATCACCCAATCTAAAGCACACGAAAAGCGAAGGTATCTGAAAAGCACCATGAAGTTCCTGAACTAATGGACTGCTATTCCTAACTTCCGATAGCGAAGGCCTACTGTGTATCCTAGATAATGAAGAGATCCGTAGTCTTGATACTAGGGGGGTGCCATGATGTAGGAAGGTCGATGTTAACCTACGAGTATGTTAGATGTGGGCTGGAATGAAGACTCATTGTATCTGGTACATACACGGGTGTAAAGTGGGCCAGTGAAATAAGAGCACAACGTAGCCACTGTTAGGATTGTTAAAACCATTGTGAATCTGTGTCTATAGACTTCATGGGCACTAAAGTCCAGAGTAGGAATGGAAAAAATGAAGTGATGGTCATAGTTGACAGGTTTAGCAAGTTTGCAGTTTTTGTTCCGCTGCCGGCAAAGGCAAAGACAGATTTAGTAACTCGTGAGTTTTTCGGATGTTGGGTAAAGGATAATGGGCATCCTTCGAGTATGGTTAGTGATAAAGACATTAGGTTCACCGGAGAAAACTTTGAACAGCTAATGAAGCCTATCGGTCTAATGGACTGATCGAACAGATGAGTAAGCTGTCACAGCAGACTCGACGAATGTATATGAGACCAGATCAGGTCGACTTGGATTAGCATCTGCCCAAGGTAGCCATTGCATACAACAATTCTGCACTCTTGTCAACAGGGTGAACTCCGAACGAATTCCATGAGGGTTGGAAACCTAGGAGGCCAATTTACAGTCTAAACCCTGATCAGGCTCCACTGTTACTGCCTGAAACTCGAGAACTCGCACTAAAGTATGAGCAAGGCCACAGAAAGTTGCACAAAAGATTAGGAGTTCCGTATGCAAAATGATAAAAAACAGGCCAAGCACGGAAAACCATCCAGACTTGTTTTGAGGATTATATCTGGGTTACGTCTAAAGAGTTTCTGCCAGAAGAAGGGATGTCTGAGAAGTTACTAGCTGCTTAGAGAGGACTGAGGGAAGTGATGGATGTTATATAAGATGCAGATGGTGGATCATATGTCCTTCATATTCCTTCCCACCCACATGCCCATCCTGTGTTCCATGCCTAAGTTGCTACCCTGCATGACAGATCATCCCTGTCACACACATCAATGATTCCCCCTGGTATGGATGGCCATTATGACATAGACCGTATTGTAGACAAAGATGTCTATAGGTCTGCAAGGAGGGAAGACAGCAGCCACAGTACAATGGTCGGTTCCTAAACCAGGAACCTGAGCATGATAGATGGTACATGAAGAATGAGCTTCAAGAGACAACCCCAGGCATAGTGTCATACTACAAGAGGGCTAAGAGAGGCTTAAACATTGCAGACAGCTGATGTCATACTACAAGAGAGCTAAGAGAGGCTTAAACATTGCAGACAGCTGAGAAAGGCCATATCTTTCCCGGGGGACCTCAAAATTAGGCCAGCGGTAGTGAAAGGATTTCATGAGTCAGTCCAGTACCGGGTGTGGTCCCAGATGTCCCAAGGTCCCAAGTCCCTTGAACCATAGTCCAACCGCCAGGCCCGGAGGCTGAAAAGCCGTTTAAGGACCCGGTATTCGGTTAGAGTCCAATAGGTTGGTAGAAGTGCAGTACATTATTGGTATATTTATGAGACCTATGCAAACAAAAAGAGAAGCTACATCTGCAGAAAAGAATAGAAAACGTTGGGCACCTAAATAGATAAATACTAAATAGCAGTATTAATACGGAAGTGTTTCAAGCATCCCAAACGATACTTGCACCGCGCTTCTCTGGTGCGCCGTGCGCAGATTGGTGATGCGTTTCATTTTTTTATTTTTATTTTTTTTTATTTTATTTTTAGGGATGTGTGTGTACACACAAGGCACACGGGGATGTGGGCAGCTGCCGCTCAACCACCATCAACGTGGGCAGCCTTGTACGTGCGAGGCAAAGTGAAAGAGGAGCTGTTGCCCCAAAGAAACCCTAGCTAAACACGGTTCAAAATGGTTCTATTAGGGGCGGACTC